AACTTTAATTAATTTCAAACATATTGGTGGAGATATTAAAAATTACCTGAGCTAATAATTCCTACAAGTGTAACACAGTCTAGCTCAGTGGTTCCCAAAGTAAGGGTCGCAACCTTCTGGGGGGTCGTGAGACATTGAGGGGGGGGGGGGGTCGCGAGATGATTTCCAAGAAATCAATTTTTTTTTTTAACTATTAGAAATAACATTTTATCAACATTTTAACATTTTATATTAACATTTTATCCATAACTAACAAAAGATAAAAACTAATAGTATGGTGGCTTAGTAAAACACAGCAGCTGAATGCCCAAATGAGTTCAAATGAGTGCATATTAAAATGGGGCAGACATGGGCCACCCATTTTGTACTTGTGTGCCACCCATATTGGGAAGAGGTGGAGACACATTGTCCTAACACTCTAGGTTGTAAATTGAACACTCTAAGAGTTAATAAACATTAACACTGTAAAAACGACACTCACTGCACACTGTAAAGTGTTAAAGGTACACTAAATGGTGTGGAGACATATAGACACCATGCAGTGTTAAACACTGGCACATTTGCTGTGTAGAAAACCAAGACTAAACTTGTTCTTTCTGATACACAGAGACAGGTCCATAAGCAGTCTCAGTCAGACACCCATACAGGTCCAAAAGAAGTCTCAGTCACTCAAACACATACAGCTGAGTGATGATACTTTTATTGCTCCCCAGGGGGAAATTCTCTTTTCACCCACCCAGTCTTTCTCTCCATGACACACATGTAGGCGAGAGCAAACCTGGCAGTGAAGGACAACTATCTGCAGTGGCACCTGTGGAGCTGGGGGTTAAGGGCCTCACTCAAGGGCCAGGCTCAATCCAGTGACCGTCCAATTACAGGTACAGAGGCTTAGCCCACTGAGCCACTCACTGTCCCACCATAATGCATGCAAACTCCTGACTGATAGACATACAGGCATAGTAGAAGTATAGAGTAATATAAGCATACAGAGGGTCAGTGGCAGCCCCCACTCCTTTGATTATCTACTCCTGGGCTTTATGAATCATAACTGAATGGCTGTTCTGGCCACCCCATGCCTGTCATTACATTTATGCATGTAAAGTCCCAGTAAGTACAGTATTCACAAAGCAGCTTCTCTGGCTCCTTCCTGCCAAATGCCACATGTCTCTGTAATCTGTCCTGCCCCATTACCTGAATGACATCACCTGAAAGTATTCTGTAATTCTTATAATTTAACCCTGTTTCTTATAGTGAATACTATGTACATTTGGCAACATAAAATGTGCAAAGCCACAAAATTCAAGAAATCTACTTTGAACATCAAATCAATGATCAGGAAATTAGCAAGAAATTAAACTAACAGTTTAGGTGACTTTTTCCTTATATTTCCTCAAGCATTAAATATTTGTGAGTGAACTTTCAGACAACCTTTCATGGAAAGTGAAGTCAATACAGTTCATCTCAGTTCTGATGACTTTAAACTGTTGGTCAGTAGTGGAAAATGTTTCCCCGCTAGTTTGTATTTGATGTGAGACCAGATATACTATACAGTGGTACCTCGGTTCTCGAACTTAATCCGTTCCGGACTCCGGATCGGATCCTAAAAAGTTCGAGTTCTGATCAAATTTTTCCCATAAGAAATAATGGAAAACCCCCCAAAATTACACCTAAA